GCGATAAGAAACCAGTCATGCAATTGGTTTTCTTCATCACAAGTTTCTTAGACTTCTCACTGTCTCTGGTGTGAACTATGAATATAATTCAACTAGTTCCATGAACGCATATCTAAAGCTCAGAAAGAAACTATGATCCTGTAAATGATCACCGGTAGACTATAGAAACAACAAACGATGAAGAATGACTATTGCTTTTTAACATTATGTAATCAAGGTTCTGTTTCTAAGGAAAAGACAATTCACTAATGATATTTATGTTTCTATACACAGTAGATCACCATTACTTCAAGACCCTAAACCATGGTTTGTTTATTCCCGAAAGATGAAATGAATAACCAACATTAAGCCAAAGTGTGGTTTGGAAACTATCTAGGATTTGAAAACTTAGCAACTAGATCATGGCATCATTCTTTAAGCATGGAATCACGTGTTGAAGCAAAGATTACTATTAACTCATATTACCTCTGTTTGGTTGTCTCTTGTTCACGCTGTAACTGCCAACATAACCTGGAGATGAACTTCTAGCTGAAACATCTGAAGAAGGACCTCCTCCTCCAATGCCATAGCTAAAAGAAGCAGGCCCTTCTGTCTCAGGAGTTGGTGCTCTCCATGTGGGATCACTATAAACTGCACCACCATTCCCATAAAAGTCTGCAAGTCCTGCTGCATCGTAACCCGTGTTGTTGGTTACGGAGGCAGAAGAGAATGAAGACGATGGTGCTGCCTTGCTAACCCCTGGGTTTCTTGCTGCATATCCACCTGTTCCCAGCCCAAAGCCGGATTCACCGTTTCCTCCATAACCAAACTTCACGTTCTCGTTACTAACAGCATTGTTTCCTCCTCCTGGAGCACCCCAATTGACTCCCGAATTGCCAAATGGACCGCTAAACGTGTTGTTCCCACTTGTTGATCCTCCCATGTATGTATTGGAATTCGAGTTTGTAGTGCTGTTGTTATAGTTAAGACCCCCATTGTTTCCTCCCCATAAGTTCCGTGTAACCGAACTGAAGAAGGATGAGTTTCCTCCTCCATTGCCTCCTTCATAGCCAACTGCAGGACTAAACCGGTTTGTGTTCCCAATGTAGTACGGGCTCATTCCTCGGCCATAGTCGACGTTTCCATTAAAACTTGTACCTCCCATGCCTGTGGGCAGTCCTTGCTCAAAGTTCACATTCATCCCGTAGCCTGAACCAAAATTTGCAAACCCGCTTCTTCCACCACCAACCGGACTGAACCGACCATCCATTCTAAGTCCATATCCTCCAACTGCAGCGGGATTAAATCCTTGAGCATATCCATTAAGTAGGTTATTGACCCTATTAACTCCGTAGCTGTAACCTGCACCAAGCGGGCTGCGACTTGGACCTGGAGATAACTCCTTTGGAACAGCTCGCTTAACCTCAACCATTTTACCGTTAAGTTCATGGAATGTCTTGAGCAATACTTTCTCAACGGCCTCCTCGGAATCGTAAGTTATGAATCCGAAACCTCTAGGCCTTTGTGTGTTGTGGTCATACATAACAACCACATCCGTAGTTGTCCCAAACTGCTCAAAATACGTCTTAAAATCGCTCTCTGTAACCGAAGAAGGTAATCCTCCAACAAAAATCTTCCTTGTGCGACCTGGACCGCCAGGAGAACCCTGGATGCTACTGCTGTTGCTTCTATTTACTATGTTCTGGTCATCTCTGGGAACAGCTTTCTTGGCTTCAACCTGCAAAAGACCAACACCTTTGAAAAATGAAAAACTAAGTCTCATCATAAGATCACTCATTTCTTCTACAAAATCCAATCGAAGCACAAAGGAAACAACGATTCAAGGCCTAATTGCGTAGAGAAGCTTCGAAAACAAGTTACATTGTACATAATCAAAGCCTAGAAGAGTGTCATCACCAAAGAAACATACCAATCTGCCATCAATATTATGCTTTTCCGTAATAACAATCTCAGCAACAGCAGGATCAGCAAACACTACAAAACCGAAGCCACGGGCACGACCCGTGGTACGATCTTTCAAGATCACAGCTTCGATCACTTCTCCAAAGCTGCTAAAATACTCCTTGAGACGTTCCTCATTGGTGTCCCAAGATATCCCACCGATGAAAAGCTTTCCATTGTCGGATTGCATTTTGCTCTGCACACAATTAACAAAATCACTCTTCAGAATTCGACAGATCAAAGACATAAAGCCAATCAAGTTCTGGTCTTTTTGCTATGAATCAGATTTAACCGATTCTCAGAATCTGATCAAACGGTTAAATCAATTCAATCTAGGAACAACAGATCTTTCAACTACCGATTCAAAATTAAGAGAATCTGCCGGGAATAGTTGATCGGTAAAAAGGAAACGGATTTTGCAATCAGAAAACATGAATCGAAATCTGAGATCAAAGAAAATCGAAAACCCACCAAATTCAGATTAAAACCCAGATGCGGAATCTCGTCGAGAAAAAACACTTAAGATCTGAGGATAGGCACGATTTGAATAGAGGGCATAATTTTAAAACCC